TATTTTTGCCATAAAACTGAAGAAAGACTCAAGAGAATGTATCCTGTCTTTTCTCAACACTTAAAACAAAGTAGGCCGGATCCTTTGTGTGCTTGGTTTCCCTCCCTCCATCCTCTCTATTCCCCACCTCCCTGCCAGCCCTTGGTCTCTCCCTCTCATGTGTGTTCAAATTCTGATTCTATATTTTTCAAATGGAGTGCTTACTCCTATAATAACCATTTCCAGACTAGTGTGAAAATCAATAGGAACCAGTGATGTTCTACATCTTGTTGGATTTCAAAGTAATTGCTTTACAGCTTTTCACCTGTGCATCCCTTTAAGTGGGGAAGGAGAACAGTTTTTAATGGTTTTCTATTCTTTTTGTGGCCCAGTGGAGAATTAAAATTATTTCAAAGGTCTAACTCCCCCCCCTTGTTTCCTCCCCCAAATTTCCCCTTGTTGCTGATTCTGCATAATCTGCAGATTTCCCTGACTCCCCTGCTCCCTCACCCCAACTGTGTATTCGCTTTTCAACCAAATAACTTTTTTCTCTAGTTTCATTTAGTTGAAATGCTAAAAATTTCTCACTGTTGAAATCTGAGGTTTTAACTTCCATTAAAAAATTCAAAGTTCTTGTGAAATAATGGATGCCATGGTTGTGGCTATAAGCAGTGATGTATACTACAAATCCCCAGTTAGGAGGCTCTCCACCTTTTTCTCAGGGGAATCCCTAAACAAAAAGCCAGACTCAGTGGTGTCACCACTCCAGGAAGCAGGACTCTGTCTTCCCAAAAGGTTTTACTGTGATAAAAAGCAGTGGTATTTAGACGATGATTTACAACTTTTTCCCAGGTACCTAATATCTTGAGGAATACATATAAATAAAAATGGTGCTTCCTGTCCCTAGTCTTGTCCTGACTGGTGTAGCTCAATGAGTTGAGCATCATCCCGCAAAACGAAAGTTAGCCAGTTCGATTCCAGGTCAGAGCACATGCCAGACTGCAGGCCAGATTCCTGGCTGGAGGTGTGCAGGAGCTACCAGTCCACATTTCTCTCACACAGTGACATTTCTCTCCCTCTCCATCTCCCTCCCTTCTCTTCTCCCTAAAAATAAATTTTAAAATCTTTCAAAAAGAAGAAAGAGCCGTTGGAAAACTAGATGGCTGAAAAAAACTTGAATAGTTGAATTGTACTATAAGATTTTAAGCCTTGACTCAGAGGGAAGAAGAAAAGCCTATTATATCCTGAGTAATCAGGATTCTTGTAATGGTAAAATAGATTGATTTATTTATACTGACCATGACTAAGTCAGTATAAACTAAGTCAAGGTTAGAACATTTTCAAGTTAGAACTATCTCCCTTGTTTACAAGAAAATGACAAACAGTGCCAATAATAATCACAATAATCTGTTTAAAAATCTTCCCATCATATAAGCAAAAATGTAAGCTAAATTTATAAAACTCATTTCAGGAATATCTTGTTAAAAACTGCATGTCCATGAACTCAGTTTATCTAACAATTATTGGATGCTTACTAACACATTTGATCTTCAAAACACTTTGGGATAGGCACAGAGAGGTTCAATAACTTATCCAAGGTCAGCTGGGAAGTGGGTAGAGTTGGGATTCGTACAGAGCAGTCTGGGTCCAGGATGACCATGTAACCATGACAATGTACTTACTGCTTCTCAGCTCCAAAGACATTTGTTCAGCCCCTACTACTGTAGATAAAATTTTTTTTCAACTATACATAGATAGCTGAAAAAAGTTTTTTAATGAAATCAAATCTTTATTGGTTGGTGAGAGGGTAAATTTGGTGGATACTATAATCCACATAAAATATTGTTTTATTTTAATATATATTTAACATTACATCACATAGCAAGTAATTGTATAATTATGGAAAACACTGAGGTAAATGAAATTACCTCAGTGTATTAATAGAAAGTAATTTCTGACTTCCGGCCAAGATGAAGGCATAGGTAGACACACCGTGCCTCCTTGCACAACCAAAATAAGGACAACAAAAATTTAGAAACAAAAGAACAACCAGTATTGACAGAAAATTGAACTGTATGGAGGTCCAACAACCAAGGAGTTAAAGAAGAAACATTCATCCACATGGGTAGTGGAGGTTGAGTCAGGCAGCCAGGTGGAGAGGACTTGCAGCAAGGTGGTGGCTGGTGGACCCCAGGCAAGAGAGCAGCAAGCAGACCCAGGAAGGCAGAGGATTGTGGAGGGGCGCGGTACACAAGGCGACTGGTGGACCAGGCAGTCCCACATTCTCGTGCAGATGAATCCGGCGAAGCTGGGGAGCAGGACAGACTATGCAAGCCAAGGTCCCAGTCTGGGAAAAATAAAGCCTCAAACACGGATTGAAAACACCTGTGGGGGTTGAGGTTGTGGGAGAGACTCCCAGCCTCACAGGAGAGTTTGTTGGAGAGACCCACAGGGTCCTAGAATGTACACAAGCCCACCCACATGGGAATTAGCACCAGAGAGGCCCAGTTTGCTTGGGAGAAGCAGTAAAAGTAACTGAAATCCAGCAGAGAGTGGAGCAAGTGCCATGTTCCCTCTTAGACCCCCTCCCCCACCTATAGCTTCACAACCTAGCGACTAGGTTACCTTACTCAGGTGAACACCTAAGGCTTTGCCCCTCACTACATAACAGGTGTGTCAAGACAAAAAAATGGCCCAAACAAAAGAACAGAGTAAAGCTCCAGAAATAATACAACTAAGCAACAAAGAAATAGCCAACCTATCAGATGCACAGTTCAAAACACTGGTGATCAGAATGCTCACAGAATTGGTTGAATTTGTTTTCAAATTAGATGAACAAATGAGGGCTACACTAAGTGAAATAAAGGAAAATGTACAGGGAACCAATAATGATGGGAAGAAAACTGGGACTCAAATCAATGGAGTGGATCAGAAGGAAGAAAGAAACAACCAAACAAAAAAGAATGAAGAAACAAGAATTCAAAAAAATGAGGAGAGGCTTAGGAACCTCTAGGACATCTTTAAATGTTCCAACATCTGAATTATAGGGGTACCAGAAGGGAAAGAGGAACAGCCACAAGTGGAAAACTTATTTGAACAAATAATAAAAGAGAACTTCCCCAATCTGGCAAAGGCAATAGACTTCCAGGAAATCCAGGAAGCTCAGAGAGTCCCAAAGAAGTTGGACCCAAGAAGGAACACACCAAGGCACATCATCATTACATTAGCCAAGATTAAAATGAAGGAGAGAATCCTAGAAGCATCAGGAGATAAGGAGACAGTCACCTACAAAGGAGTTCCCATAAGACTGTCAGCTAATTTCTCAAAAGAGACCTTACAGGCAAGAAGGGGCTGGAAAGAAATATTCCAGCTCATGAAAGGCAAGGACCTACATTCAAGATTGCTCTATCCAGCAAAGCTTTCAATTAGAATGAAAGGGCAGATAAAGTGCTTCTCAGATAAGGTCAAGTTAAAGGAGTTCATCATCACCAAGCCCTTATTTTATGAAATGTTAAAGGGACTTATCTAAGAAAAAGAAGATAAACAACATGTATGGTAAAAATGACAGCAAACTCACAATTATTAACAACCATACCTAAAACAAAACAAAAGCAAACTAAGCAAACAACTAGAACAGGAACAGAACCACAGAAAAGGAGATCAAAACACTGGTGATCAGGATGCTCACAGAATTGGTTGAATTTGTTTTCAAATTAGAAATATTGAAACAGGAGTGGAGGAGGAAAAGGGGGAAAAGGTACAGAGAATAAGTAGCATAGATGGTAGGTAGAAAATAGACAGGGGGAGGTAAGAATAGTATGGGAAATGTAGAAGCTAAAGAATTTATGACAAATGGACATAAACTAAAGGGGGGAAATGTGGGTGGGAGAGGGTGTACAGGGTGGAGGGGAGTGAAGGGGGGAAATGGGACATGTAGTAGCATAATCAATAAACTATATTTAAAAAATTGAATGTAATTTCTAATTAAAAAAACCAAACCAACCCCTATGTTGTTCCAAATGCTCTGGCTCTGCAAAGACGGTTGCTGCCTTCTTTCTTTCTTTAGTCTTTTCATGACCGCTGAGTGTCAGAATGCCTTACTTGACCTCATCTACAAGTACTTCAGAGTCTTCATGGACAATGTGATCTGAGGTGCCTGTGACCTTGGACCAGGCCAAAGCCTAGGCCAAGACTTTCAGCCTCAGCAACCAAGCAGAGCCTGCACCATCTGTACACTCCAGAAGTTCTTTTCAGGCTTAAAACTCCAGACACAACAGATGTTTAAGTTTTGACTAAGTGACCTTATTCCTGCCCTCCCTGAAGAAAGCATACATGTTGAGTCTAGCATTCAACCTTTAGAAACCAGTTTGGCAGCCTGTGATCTGCAGAGCTGTGCGGGGAGTCCAGTTTCATCTGGTCTGGTTAAAATCAGATGACCAACTCCATACAGAGCTTCTCTCTGAGCCAGCTCCTCACACTGCTGGAGTCTCTGGGTTTACAGGAGGCCAGGCACTTGCTTAAGGGAACAAAGTGCCCGGTACTGGGCAGGCAGAATTCGGTATAGGGTTTGTGATTTCGCTAGAGAACCAGTGTTGCCCCCAAGTGCCTTGCCACAAGTGCGGGCTCTGGAATTATTTAACTATACCTGCTTAGGACGCTGTACTTTGTGAGAAATGCTGCCTAGTGGGTGCAGCGATGTCTGACACACCGTGCGCGACCTCAAGGGGCATTTATTTCTTGAGCTCTTCCTACATGCGGGCGGAGAATGTCTTCTTCCGCATATTCCTAACCATGGTTCCTTAATTCTCAAGACTTTAGTTTCCTGAGTGGGAGCGTGAACACTGAAACCTCAGGATCCAATAAATTCAAAGGATCCAACACAATGCAAAGGTTTTCTGTATTGATTGGACAGAGCTGGAGTAGGCGGTCTCTCTGCCGGCATGCTAATTGGGAGTGGAGCCTGCCTATCATTGGTTATCGGAGCCGAGAATATTGCGGCGTCCAATGGGAAGGCACTGCCTAGTGACTGTAAAGTGTTGAGAGAGGCAGTTCCGGTGTGTTACGTTTCATTCCTAAACCCGGACAGGATCATCCTTGATATTTCTCTCCCTGGAGTTTTAGGCGAGAGGTGAACATGTCTGGTCGCGGAAAGCAGGGCGGCAAAGTGCGGGCAAAAGCCAAGTCCCGGTCCTCCCGCGCAGGACTGCAGTTCCCAGTGGGCCGAGTGCACAGACTGCTGCGCAAAGGTAACTACGCGGAGCGAGTTGGCGCTGGGGCGCCTGTATACCTGGCAGCGGTGTTGGAGTACCTGACCGCCGAGATCCTGGAGTTGGCAGGCAACGCTGCGCGTGACAACAAGAAGACCAGAATAATCCCTCGCCACCTGCAGCTCGCCATTCGCAACGACGAGGAGCTAAACAAGCTGCTGGGAAAAGTGACCATCGCTCAGGGCGGCGTCCTGCCCAACATCCAGGCGGTGCTGCTGCCCAAGAAGACGGAGAGTCAGAAGGCGAAGAGCAAGTGATCCTGACGCCGCCATAGGGGAGCTGGCTTTCTGAGCAAAGCCTCTTCATAGACACCCCGCAGTGGTTTTGAATATGCTGGATGTCATTGAGGGTCAGCGCGATCTATTGGGGAGGTGGGCTGCGAGGGGCCCACCGGTGTGGGGGACCAATAAAGTCGGTGAAAATCGTGTTGTCGAGAGAGCTGTGTAGTCCTGGGGCCTGCCGGAGACCTCTGGAGCAGGTACTGGTGGGTCGGCTTTGGTACGGGTCACCCTCGAGGCTTTATGGGCATGTGAAAGAGACCCGGAGGGACCCATTGTCCTGGAGGTGGGCAGAGATGGGAGCTCTCCCTGTTCGCCTTAAGGTAAAAAGGAGGCAGAGTAGATATGGGTGCGGCGGGGGAAATTATTTGTGTGGCCTCTTCCCAGGCTGTAGCTCTCTTGCCCTGTATGGGCAGTTCCAAAACCAGTTCTGGGAAAAGGACGGTGGAACCCAGCCGGTCTGGGGCAAAAAGTGAACTATCTGGCTATACTTTTCAAAAAGTGGAATAACTTTCCAACTTGGAATAATGGCTCTAAAAACACACTGTCAGCTGAGATGTTTCTTAAGCTGTTAGCTGTTGTGTTTGCATGGTTTGGGTATCAGATATTTTTATACATACACTTATGTTCACATTTCTTTAAAATGAAGGGAACGCCCAGTATTACATGTAGTACAGAAGCATGAGTCATGAGGTTGGAAATTTGTTCCCCTGACACTCATGTTGCATAACAGTGCGGTGCCTTTAGTCATGAGTAACATATGCTTGTGAGCTTTTAAAATGATTTAAAAGTTTCTAGCTTCAGAATGGATTTGTTGCCATATTATGCTCCTTTGGAAATGTACTAGGTTTGATTTTGCTTTATAACAACAAATAGCCTGCTTGAAATGTTCTTCTACTGGCCTGAAGTAATAACCTCATTTCAACAATGACTATAGGGGTTGCATTGCTTAATGCAACAGAAGTGCTTTCATAAGTATGTGAGTTATGAGAAAAGGCAAGGACAAACGATTTCAGTGCAGGAAGAAACACATTTCAGGTCAAGAATCCACATTTAAAAGTTAAACGATAGCAATCCTATTCTGTCCTTGGTTGACCCTTCCATTTCACTCTTTTCCACAAGCTGCATCATCGTCCACAGGGCCCACAAAAGAGATCCCAGTTTGTATTTCATTTCTTTGAATTACTCTTTCCTGTGAGTCACAGTTGAAGTCTTCTTGAAAAAAAAAAGTACATCTTCATCCTGTTTTCCCATATGGACTTTCTTTATTTCCTCCCCAGTATTTATTGAGCATCTATATGTAACATGCTCAGTGGTAGGTGATGGGTAATGGGAACACAGCTATGAATGAGGCCAAATGGGTTTCCACTCTCTTGGAGCTCAGTTTTTTTTTGTTTTTTGTGTGTTTTTTTCTCCTGATGACCAAAGACAGGACAATGAATAAATAAATATCAGAGGATTGCCCTTCAGCTTCTGTTAGTACTTGTGTCTTCTCACTGCTGGTGGAATAAATGTAGAGATTACTTTTCTCATGCGGTAGTCTTTGAGGTGTACAAAGGCCAGGCCACACACACTTCTGTTAAACAGATTATTACCCCCCAATTGCTGAGGAGATCGATCCCAAGGGTACCATGGGAAGGTTACAGGATGTCCAGCTGTTCACTCCTCACCTTTCAATACAGAATGCTTCCCCATATATTAAATAGTCATCACACCCTGAGGACTGAGATTCTTCACTTACTGCATATATTAGGGATGTATGAGGCACTCAGTAAATTAAAAAGTACCATTTCCTACAGGATATAGGCTTATCCTTATAGGTTAAGGTATAGGTAACCATAACTAATAAGATTTTCTTTTTTGTTTTGGCTTTTACTGCCCAATTCTTAGGATATTATTAGTGTTATCACTTCAGGGGCATGGTAGGTCCTGGAGAAGAAAAAAACATATGAAGTGCTGGTTGTACATTTAAGTCTTAATATCCCGGAAATACTTCAGGCTTATTAACAAAATGGCGAAGAAATAAGGATAAAGCTCATCAAGACATTTATAAGAAAAGAAAAAACACTTTTCTTTTTCCTCTGAAGATTCAGTCTGTCTACTAACCCTGTTGCCAGAAAGGTATCACAGGCAAGATACAAAGTGCAGTGATTGCCACCCCACCTCCACTGCTGCTTCCCTGAGGTTCTTTGGTTCTTAAATACCGCCCCCCCCCCCCCCCCCCCATGCTGCAAGGTTCCATCAGTCCCTCATCTTACCTGTTTCTGAGGGTTGGTTTTTTTTTTACCTGAATCATCTATTAACAGTGTAAAATGCATACCTCCTGCAAAGTCAATTCAGCCTATGATCCTTGATGAGCAAACAGTTCTTGCCACTGTATGGCTGTTCCTTTAAAAGGCCAGTATTCAAGTACAAGACCATGTCAAAGAAGACAGTACCAGAACTGATGGTACCTGAATTCTGATTTTTAATAGATTTATAATCCATAGTTGGATTTATAGACACACATACTCTTTGTGGCAGAGATAAGCCATTCAGTGTGGTAGGTTGTGACTTGGGTAGAACTTTTGTTCTTTGTTTTTCCGCAGGGCCAATCTTGTCTTTGTGCCTCTGAGAACTGGCCTGTTTAGTTTTGTCTGCCTGGAATCAAAAGGTTTAGTTTGGCACCATTATTGGTCATGACTGGCCTACTACATACAAACTCTTCACAAACCCCCTTCTAATAGTTGAAAGGTCATACATATGCCATGGTGTTTAAGGACTCAAGCTCTCTGGAATGAGACAGGTTCAAATCCACTCTTCCTTACTAGGATGACTCTGGAAATGTTAAATCTCTCAACCTCAGTGTTTTCTAGTAAGTGGGCCTAATAATGGAGGTTACTTTAGTGGGTTTTGGGGAGGAATCAGTGAGACAATGTGAATGAGAGCAATATGTTTCCCATACAGAACCATGCTCAGTGAATAGCAACAATTCTTGTCTCTATAGGACAATGGATTTAAAGTGAGTAGCAGTAGTTATGGGACCTATTGAAATAGGTAAACATACCATTCTAACAATCCTGTGACTTTGCTGGTAGAAAGTTGTAAGTTTAATGGCTATTTTACTAATTACAGGATATATGTAACTCAGTCTTTAACAGGAAAAGGCATAATAAATGGCTAATGCTTATGAAACTTAATTTGCATCCCCCCCCACAAGACAATCTAGTTTGGAATTAATGGTTTATTAAGTGCACCGTGCAGATTAAAAATGGAGCCTGTTTGTTCAGCAACTTACTGTGTAAATGTTATGTTGTAAATCATGATTGATAATTGCCATTAACAAAAATGGTTGTAATGTAATAAAAAAAGACGATTATAATTTGGCAGGCTACATGTAAAGAAAGGGAGGTGCCCAGGCTGTTACAGTAATGGAATAGAGGCACCCGTGCCCCTCAGCCTGCTAGGAAGAGTGGCACCTGTGGCAAGTAAGTCTGGGTGTAAGAGTCGAACTGACACGACAGGTGTTCTGGGCAGAGGAGTAGCATACACAAAGGCACAGGAGTCAGAAGACAACACCTGCAGCTGCGTGTGAATGAGTCCAGGGGAAAAGGTGTGGCCTGGAGATAAGATTTTGGGAGTCATGACTAAAAATGGTCAGAGTGGACAAAATCACCCAGAGGGAAAATATGTGTATAGAATGTACATAGATATATTAGTGAATGTATAGAAAACAGCCACAGCTCACAGGGGATATGAGGATCTGTGAGATCCAATTTGTCTGGCAGAGAAAGAGGAGCCACTAAGGAAATGAGGGGATATGACCTGAAAGACATCAGGAGACAGAACGTAAAGGGATAAAGATTTTTTCACAATGGAAACTGCTGCACTTCTGGATGCCCCCCGATTTGCTTATACTTTTATACTTTTATATATAACTAGAAAACATTCTTTAAAGTTGATTATATTCTCCGCATACAGCAAGTGCCAACAAGCTAGCTCACTTTACTAATGGTGCTGGAGTGGGTATGCACTTTTGCCTTGTACATAGAGAAATTCAAGGTATATAGGGTGACAACTGAAACTTAAAAAAAAAAGATGAGAAGAATATTGGTAAGACCCAGTTTAAATTATATTCTTTATTATCATTCCAATACATTGATTATAATTTATAAATATATTTTAATGGTTTAATTTTGAAAAAGTTGTGGTAACTTAAGTAGTGGTAACTCATTAAATTGTAAAAGCAATATAGGTATTTTGGGATGCTTAAAACATATATTTTTATGTCAGAAATGCTTATTTCCCCAAAAGAGGGAAATAGAGAGTAAGAGGAACCAAAAAAAATAAAAAAGATAGTATTAGGAAGCCAGCTGGCTTTAGGCAGATACAAAATTGTCACTGTAAAGCTTTATTTTGTGTTTTTCTCCAAGGAGAGAAAGAAAAGTCTAGGTTGAAAACCAGGTTTTAACATATACAGTAATAAAAGAGAATGACAACACATTTGGCTAGTAACTTGGGCCCTTGATAATTTTATCAAACCATGCAATTAAGAGGCCAGCACTGCTTAACTCCAAATTATGGAAATGGAGGGCTAAGCCCTACAATGAACACAATTATCTTTCATTTTACACAAACCAGACAAGCGATGTGCTCATGAGGGCTTATTTGCTTTCTGTTGTAAAGTACTTTTCAAATGAACTATCTTGTTCACATCAAAAGTCTAAGTGGCCATTGCAGTTCCAAAAGATCCCTAGGGAAATTGTGCCTATTAAAGAGGTAGGTGTACGAGTTACTGTTATAATGAGTAGACAGGAAGGAAGCAGGTGTTTGGCCTGGAAGAGGTACAGTTTTAGATTATTATAACTAAGACTAATAGTGTTTTATAAAGATGTGTAATTTCTGATCCTGGGAACATGGCCAATGGCCAGTCATCACCCATGGGTCCAGGCAGACAAAACTAAACAAACCAGTTCTCAGGGACATGAAGACAAGAGTGAGAAAGAAGTCTTTATTAGATTTAGAAATGGTGACCTGAAGTAAAGTGTGTTCTCAGGTCGCTGGTTGGAGTACTCCAGAACTCAGCCCTTGGAGGTCAGGTCAAAAACACATTTCAGGCCTCTGTCCATCCTCTCCCTTTAGGCTTGGCTTCTTACAGACAATACTAAAT